CACACACACACACACACACACACACACACACACACACACACACACACGACAAACCTCTGTTTAGAAACTTTACTTCAGCATAGTGGTGGTTCAACATGTAAAATTTCTAAATAGCGTCATTTTTGCAACAGAACAACGAACCAGAATTTTTTCTCAATTTCCACTGGTAGAAAAGCAGGCTTTCCCCCAGAACACCACAGGACCCACTGATCCCACAAGCCTTGGTTTCATCTCTCCCCTGGACCGGTTAGATTCCACAAGTCATTGTAAGGCACTGAAAATATCTTAACAAGACAAAAGTATCCTGCCATTTTTAGTTTTTGAGACTGATTTTCACATGACCCAGGCTGGCCTTGAGCTCATTGTGTCCTGAGAGCTGATCATGAACCTCTCATCCTCCTGCCTCTTCCTCTTGAGCACTGGGATTATAGACCTGTACTATAATATACTCTGATTAATGTAGTGTTAAGATGAAACCGGAGCCTTGTGTATGTTAGACAAGTAGCCTATCCTTGCATTTATTCCCTGAAATTTTTATTGAAAAGACTGCAGATGGTAAAAATTATCATTCTTCCCCATATATTAGAAGCCTAGATGCCTAGACCCTAGCGGCAGCCTTTGAAAGAAGAGAGAAGATACAAACAAAAGGAAAACATATTACCTTATCTCACTATAAAATTTTTCTCTAAGGTAGATAAGCATTTAATTATTTTTGTTTTTTTTTCTAAAGAGATATTTAAATTATGCAGGTTTATTTTTCCTTTTGAATCATTCATCCCTTGATTGATTGGTTTGATTTTGTGTGAGTATATGCATATTAATGTCATGACGTGTGTTTGGAGCTCAGAGGACAATTTATGGGATTTGGTTCTCTCTTCCCATTATGTGGGTTCTAGAGACCAAACTTGGGTCTCAGGCTGGGCAACAGGTGCCTTTTGCACTAAGCCCTCGTCCCTGGGTCTGTTCACACCTGTGTTCCTCTTTGCCTCAGTTACGATGTATATGATCGAAATGACACATTGTTTCCATCTCTATAATCTCCATTATTCTCATGGCATCTTTCAAAGGCTAGTATCTGCCCTCTTTAACAGAGACACCACCCGATGTACAAAGACCTGGTGGTTATACCTAGTCTTTCTGGGTGATATACAGCCAGGAACACAAGCTGTGGCATGCCACCCCCTCCATCTTTTCTTCTTTCTTATCCATTTCCCACTTCCCCTTTTGCTACCTTGGTTGACTGTCCAGGAACGCATGTGACCCACACACCTCTGCCTACACCTTCCAAAGTCACAAGTGGAAAGGCCATCAGAATTAGTGATTTAAATGAACCTGGAACCAACCCACCAATCGCTGGCAACCTGCCTGCACCCATGTAGTGTGAACGATTGTTCTTTTGACACCCGTGACCCAGAAGACAGGCTCTGGGGAAGCTGGTGGCTCGTTCAGTGACACATCTGGGCAAATGGAAAAGCCCAGGAGGTGTTCCCGTATAATAATCAGGAGCTATTGACTTCTCCTGGGGTCAGGAGCAAGATTTATTAACCTGAGAGATAAATATTGACTGAAAATTGGGATAGTTCCTCTTTTTCCTCTCAGACACCTGGTAAATTACTCAGGCTGCCATTCAGATACTTGGAAACTTGGAGTTTTTGTCCAGTTTTATGTCCATTTTTAGTTATAGGCCTCCTGAGGGAAGAAAATCTTTGTGCTGTATTTTAAAAGGATATTTAAAATCCTGCTAATTGTTGCTTCATTTTTATCTGTTCTAAGACTCACTGGCCAGGAGTCTTTTATAATAGAATAATAAGTTTTTGTGTCCCTAGGCCTCCTTTCCCCATGATTGTCAGTGTGAGGCTCTGAGTCAGGTCCTGATTTCAACCCATCTTATATGAAGGTTTCTGTCCACCTTCTTCCCATTTTCTCTTGTCCCTAATGTGACCAAAGAAATGTCTTCTTGCTAGCTCTGTAAGTTCTTTCTCCTGAGAAAAAGTCTTTCCACAATGTTCCAGTCCACAGAGATGATTCAATTTCCAGCCACCCGGGTCCTGGCTCCTTTGCCCTGTGGCTTCAAGTGATTTGAATTTGCCATTAGATGTCAGTGTTATTCATTCTTCTCTCTTTCTGGATGTCAGAGAATAGTGACCATAGAGTACCCACTCCCCGCCTCCTTTTCTACATCAAGAGCTCATCTCCTTCATCTAAAGACAAATGGATAGCCCCACATTATATTAAAAGCTATACAGTTGTAGAACTGCCGGGTTCCAAAGCTGTACTCTCTTCATTTCAATGTACTACTCTCTGAAATGAATTTTTTTTTACACTTTCTACATCCTATCCTTGCTAAGCTCTTATATCCTATATCTCCCTGATTCCAATAAATTACTAAGAGTACTCATCCTGGTGACTTTGAAATACATTCCTGAAAAACATTCCTGGCATTAACACAGCGTATTGGAGCTTTCAGGGTTGTTTTACATTTTACTTATTTTCTTATTGTATATTTTAAAAAGTGATTCCCTCAATTTTTTGGAGAAGATCATGTTTGCCAAAGATCCATGTAGAAATTTGCCTTTTTCTATAAGCTTTTCTTCCCTCAGACTTGTGCCTTTCAGGGACCTCTGTAGATTTATTATTGCAGAAGATGCCACTTCTGTTTTTCTAATTCTTCCTGAGAAGTGCCATTGAGCTTTGACAAGCGACTGTATAGCACTGTGGCCAGAAGGCTGCCCAGGTGGCAGATGGGAAGTCCCAATAGAAATGCTGACCCGTGGCTTGAGCTTTTTCTTGTAGTAACACATTTTCCCAGCAAGTAACATTTGAGTGTGTGACAGCTCGGCAGTGTCCTGAAATAGATGTTGCCTTTCTTTTGGCTGAAGTTTGCACAGCCCTTCTTCATGCTTCCATGCTTCACATTGTGCTTTTGGCCATTAAGATTGGGGAAGTGGAGTGGACGGAACGGAAAGGCCAGCAGCTATGGTTCCCTTAATGTGCCGTATAAAAGCTGTGAATGGAAGACATCCCAAGAATGGAAAAAAAAAAAGCTGATTCTTGGGGCTTAGTTCATACCGGTAGAAGCCTTGCCTTAGGAATGAGTTTCACACACAATCAACAGCCAGACAGCCCTTGATCTAAAGAGGCTGAAAATTAATCAGCTGCCACAAGGTGGCGAAATCACATTGAGGTCCTTCCTGCTCTTTCTCCCATGGATGCCTGTTCTTGTCAACTGAGTGAGGACAAAGGTATCATTTTTAAATTTAAATAAAAACCACTTATCACCCAGATTTACAAACCATTTCCATGCATCCAGATAGCTATCTGCGTACAGTGCATACATGAGTGAGGTCGCAGCTGCTGCATAAGGAGCGAAAGGTACAGTTTGTTTTCCTACAGCTCCCTGAGGAAAACCAATGTTCTCCCTGTATCTGATGTCCGTTTGCTCATTTTGGATGTATTTGGCTGCGCGTGATACACTATCCCTTGAAATGTGTTTGCTGATCAAGAATAGAAAGTCATTCAGATAGATTTCAGAGCTTGTCATGAAACTTCTGTTAAGTTCTGTGGTGTGTGTGTGTGTGTGTGTGTGTGTGTGTGTGTGTGTGTGTGTGTATGGAAGGTAGACATGAATGAGTCTGTAAACGATAGCAAAAGCATTTTAATTGTCTATCCTAAAAAAATTTTCTGGCCATGTTGTGGCCATGGCGGTGTTGCACATAAGCTCTATCTGCCTGCTCTTTTTTTTTTTTTTTTTTTATGTAACAAGGATAAATGTTTCCAAACACATAAAACTATGTGACAAACAAAATAATCAGGCTCAGGATGGGCACTCAATGTCTGACTGAGAGTTACTCTCAAGGAAAGATGAGTGAATACAGTCTCTCCTTGTTGGTATTTGTGCATACCACACTTGGAATGTAATGAATTGTGGTTAAGATTCTTTCTTCTCCACCACACAATTTGATAGAACAATATTTACCATTTTGCTTCTCTAACTCTTGCTTGATATCTTCAAACACTTGAGAAAAGAGGTCCTCTTCAGACCTTGTTCCATCTAAGTAAACTGGAAGGTGAGAAATAGAGGTTCAAATGTTGACAGTCTTATTAGTAAAGGATGCTTTGGCATTTCTTTACAACACCAATACCTTTCACCAAAGGACCAGAACTATGACTAATCTCCCAGGTGATGGCGTTCATTTCTTGTCTGTGCGTTAGGTACATGGGCCACACGTGGCCATCAAAGTACCCTGGAGGATCTGGAGGCTCATACACTCTTGTACTCCTCCTCCTCTTACATTCTTCATATGGAATGGTCAGGAAGTAGCTTCTGCTCCATATGGTGTCCAGTGGCTTATAATTAAAGAGAAGGAACCCTTCGATAATTAGAATGGGAACCCCTCGAGCACTTTCCAAGGCTGCTGGTCCAGCAGAGTGTCCTGCATTTTCCATCCAACAGGAAATGACTGACATCATCTTTTCCATGTTAAGTGCTTCAAGCACATCATACTGCAAAAATCCATTTTCATCTATGTCTATCTCAGTCTCTGGCTTGAAGAAGTCATCCTGAGATATTATGCTGCAGTTGGGAAGGTGTTTCTGCAAGTTCTTTGCCAGTGTTGTTTTCCCACCATTTGTCACCCCACCGATTCCAACGACAAATGTTTTCATAATTGGCTTTGGAAATCACCTTCTCCTAATGTTTCCGAAGCAGGTTCGAAGGCGCCCCAGCAGGACCGCAACGCAGGCCGCACCGGGGTTTCAAGCCCAGAACCGCCCGCTGATCACCGGAGCAGTGTGCCCTGCCTGCTCTTTTCAAACCCAGACACAGTCACGTATGTGACTTCAGCTCTGTGAATCAGTTGGATCATAGTTGACATTGCTGGGTAATCTCAGCAATGGATGCATTGCAATCAGCAGAACTGCTACTAGTCCAACACGCAATGAGGACATACCCCCACGCAAATTGGGTGTCTAATTTGTACATGCAAAAGCTCTGATGATGAAGCTTGAGACAAGTCCAAGCACCTTTCACAAAATACAGCACCGTTTCCTTTGTAGCGTTTGTGTTAGACTCTTACCATGCCTGACTGGTTTTACAAATTTATGAGAACCGTGTCGATAGGTGTGCTAGAGTAGAGAATGAACATTTTTTAATGCTCTTTATTGAGTAAATGTTAGCCTAATGGTGAAAACTTTGAAAGAAATTGGGAGTACTGTGAAAAAAAGACCAGGGAAGCAGATGCTTGTGAAGAGAAGGAATTATCCTCAACAACCCCCAGTGAAGCCCTCACAGCAAAGACCGGACCAGTTGCAGAGGTCACACAGTGTCTGGCCTTGGCTATGCTTTTCTAATGGGCCTTTCACCTCAGCTAGTGCCCTTGGATGCATCAGCGTTGAGGTCTGATGCTACCACATGACTTCCTAGGTCAGTGTTTTTCACACTTCTTAATGCTGTGACCCATTAATCAAGTTCCTCAAGTTATGGTAACCCCCAACCATTCATTGCTACTTCATAACTAATTTTGCTACTGTAATGAGTCGTGATGTAATTATCTGATATGCAGGATATCTAATATGCTACCTCTAAAGGGGTCACAACATATGGGTTGAGAACTGCTGTCTGAGATAATGAAGCTTCTTCAGGGCTTGATATGTCAGACAGCCCAAACATCAACTGAAGGTGATAAGTATATTAACTGGTGGCTACATAGCTTCCATGGGTCTCCTTCTTGAGTGTATAAAAGAATTCAGGCATGGAACTACATAACCAAACTAAGCTCTGACAGACAACAGGATTTTGAGATGACTTTTATTAAGAATATTTGTATTATTTTTCTTGTTGCATCAAGATCAATACACATAGTATAGGCAAGGCCCTGGTCAATTACAGTTCAGTAGAATGAGCAGGGTGTTGCATATAGCTTATAGCCTGTCCAGAAGACTGTGGCTTGGTCTTCATGAAAAGGAAGGCAGTATTTGTACCAGGGCATTAGCCATTCAATATTTTAATTATTCCCCAAATATTAGGTGTCTTATAAGTTTTCTATGAAAACTAAGTGTCTCAAAACTATTGTTTGAACTTTTAATGGGTAAAGGTTTAACTTAGAATTTAAAGCACGAATAGCATGTTTTCATGGTAAAGTAGTTGGGTAGTTTTGATGTTTTGGGATGTCTAATGTTCTACTAACGAATGGATGCCTTTGTTTCCTAAAAGAAGAATTCCAAACTTTCAGGTTTTATACTAGAAGCTGCGAGCCCTTTTGACATCACCTTCTTGTAAAGCACTCTTGAAGTGACTCTGTTGTTAGTAAAGGAAAACCAGGACTGCTATAAACAAACAGTAGCTACGAGAGTGTTCTTAGGTTTGTTTGACACACGGTTACACAGCCGTTGTAGCACGGAGCCACTTGAAAAGTCATTGATCCAAAGCCTGGAGTTTTCAGGGCAGCTCTTGTAAATTCTTCCATAACAGAGTCATACTGGGTAGTTTACGACAAGCTCTGAAGCAATCGGTGGTAAAAACCAGGAGCAATTCACAGAGCGAAAGAAGACATGCTCCTGCGGGGGCGTGCTCACAGGGACATCTAGGGGGATGTGAAGTGTCACTAAGGCAGACGTCCTAAGACTAGCAAGCAAGCCTGGGGAACAGTTGGGTGGGTTTAGCATCATGATGTCCCTTCACTGCCTCTTTGCTAGTATAGCAGCTTGGGGAGGGGGTAGCAAATAAGTTGTAAACAGGGTTGCATGGAGTCCTCCTGCCTCTCCTCAAACTCCAGAAGAACAGATCTGAATGTCACACATTGGGCCTCTGGTCAAGGCAGCATTTTTTTTTTAAATTACACTTTATTCACTTTGTGTCCCCCCTGTGGTTTCCTCCCTCCTCCTGTCCCAATCCCTCCCTTCCTCCACCCTCTGCATGCATGCCCCTCCCCAAGTCCATGGATAGGGGAGGTCTTCTTTTCTCAAGGCAGCCTTTGAAGTAAAGGCCTAACTACTCTGAATTAAGCTATATTATTTAAGTGCTATAACAGAAAGAGTTAGGCTTGAAGAAGCAAGAACAGGGAGATAAACAGAGAGTGAAAGTCACTTTCAATAAAATGGCTGGTCTATGATACTTTCATGAGAAACTAAGCTTGGGAAGGGTGAGAGCAGAGAGGTAGAGACCACATCTGACTGTAGTAAAATATCTATTATATTCTAGGATAGAAGTAATTTACATGATGATAATTGAGAAAAGAGAAGAGAGGGGTGAAATTAAGGGAATGGAAGGAAAAAGTCTCCCCTCAATGGAAATCTAATCTTAGATGCTTAGATGTGCTAAGCTAGAATTCCGCATTGCCCATTTCATTTTCACAAATAACTATAATATATTCCAAGGGTATACTCAACGGTAGTTCTACGTGTTAACTTGGCTAGGCTAAAAACAAAACAAACAAACAAACAAACAAAACAAAACAAAAAACAAAACAAAACAAAACAAAACAAAACAAAACAAAAACCTGCCAATTGTGTGGTTAAATATCAGCTCAAAACTTGTAATTGAAGGTTATTTTCTAGAAGAAATGACCATGTTCAAAGGGTCAAAATCAAGAGAAGCAAACTACATTCTATAAGTAAGTGAGTATAACGCTTTGTGTCTGCCCTCCGCAGACTCATGTTGTAAGTGTGAGTTCTTTGGTTAGTGGCACTGTTCTGTGAGGCTGTGAAACTTTAAGGAAGACCATAATGGAGGGTTGATGCCCTTGACCATGATGGGGTAAAGATTTACCCTGACTATGATGGAGTGATGATATTCTCAGAAACCATGAGCCAAAATGAATCTCTCCTCTCAAAAGCTTCTGTCACAACAGTGCACAAATGATCAATACGATAGGGTTTTTTCTAATTATGCACAAGCCTTAAAAACAAAACAGCCTTAAGAATGGGCTAGAAAGATGGTTCAGCATTTCATAGCAGTGGCTGTTCTTCTAAAAGGTTCAGGTTGGATTCCTAGAACATAGATGGTGGTTCAGAACTGTCTATAACTCCAATTTCAGGGGATCTAAAGCCCTCTTCTGGCTTCTATGGGCAATGCATGTGTGTTGTACATGGGCATACAGGCAGGTAAAATACCCATACACATAAAATAAAAAACAAATTGTAAAAAGAAATGTTTAAGAAAAAGGTATGATGGTCTGCTAAAGAGGTAATTTTTCCTCATATGAAGACATGGAAGCTGTGTCTAAGCCTGCTTCCTGCTGGCCTGCCCTACTGACTTTAGAGGGCAGACAAGAACATCACCAACATCAAATCTCTGTCTAGATGACTTACTTATAAGTTCAGACAACAAATATATGACTTGTTATGCTTATAATATAATGAGCTGATCCCTTAGCGTGAATCCATTAAAAAATAGTTAATAGCTAGACAAGTAGATAGATTGATAGATGGCATAGATAGACAGATGACAGACAGAAGATAGATGATAGATAGATAGATAGATAGATAGATAGATAGATAGATAGAGTATAGATAGATAAATAGAACTTACATAACTATTGTTTTTATTTCTTTGAACACCCTTGACTGACCATCACTCACTCAGATATTCTGATTACGCCTTTACCATGCTCTAAGACAAAGGGCATAGCTCCTAGAAATATACACCTCTATTCAAAAGCCAGCATTCATAATCATTGTAAATTGTTCTATCTCTTCCATCCTAATTTCCTCAACTATGAACTGAAAGTGATGTTATTTATCATCTGGAAATTGCTATTATAAACATAAAATGGATAGGTTTTCTTATAAGTATAGGTTACAAGAATTGAAATATAATAGATGATCAACCAATGGTAATGTGCTGATTAGCTTTTTATCTATTACACTGAAGAACACTCAGACTGTTGACCAGTGATTCAAGTCTGTGAATGCCAATCCTATATCAGTTGATATTTCTAGACAATTGAGAGAACCTGTGATGTATATAAAAACTTCCTCATGTGCAGTTCATGAAACAGTAATGCCATAAAAAGCACTGAGGGAAAGAGGCTCCCAGTTTCAAGTCAGAATGTCAAGTCTGCCAGCCAAAAAGACATCTGGAGGACTTGCATTGGAATGAGAAGTTCTGAGGGCCACTTTCCTCTCAGGGACCTAATTATGACAGTCATTGAGCTAATCACATATATTTAAGTTTTCCTCTTTGTCTTTCGACATGCTGTAAATTATTTACTCAGTCTTGAGATTATTTGTGCTCACACAACTTCCTTTGGACAAAACACACGCACACAAATGCGCGCCACACACACACACACACACACACACAGTGGAGTGCTGTGATCTTCAGGTGGCATGACTCAGTGTCACTTCCCCTTTCTGGCCTTGGCACTGCAGGAGCATGAGCTAAATGAAGCTGGAAGCATTCTGTGTCACCAGGTGACAAGGAACAGAGGCCTCTCTTCAGCTGACCTGACTGAGAAGTCAGCTTTTTCTTGTTCTGAGTCATATTTTGAGATGGGCCAATTTTGTGTCATGCAGGATTTGGTGAGTGGGAACTACAGCCTTGCTCTAGAAGAAGCTAAGATTCGTGTCAGGTGGTCAGCAGTGTGGTTGTGAATGGAAGGGAATTGTTCACAGGATGAAAAAGGGCAACATGGTGTTTTCAATATCAAAATACCTGACATTGAAACCACAGCTCTGGGAGTTTTTATTAGCCAGAACACTTTGGAAAATGCTGATTTATAATGTTTACTACAATACTTTATCTTTTTTCTGGATGTTAATTACCAGAA